GTGGGGACACTAAGCCCCTTTAAATAATTATTTAGAATGGCACATTAATATAGTCAAATAAGGGGCTCATATTCTTGTAAAAGATTCGAACAAGGGGACCCCTGACAGCCCTTTAAAAAGTTTCATAGGTGACCCAAAACATTTTTAAATACTCGAATGGGGGAAAGTAAATACCATTTCTTAAAATAGTTGAAAATGTGTCAATAACACTCATTTAAGTAGTCAAAGAGGAATTTTTTGATTTTTTTATTGTTTTTATTCAAGTTTTTATGAAGGAGTTTTGAGGTCTCCGCTTTTAAACTTAGCATCCAGATCAGTTTTGAGCATTATGGGTCCGAATAACAATGCTAAGCTGAAAAGTTTACGAAGAAATCAAGAAAATTATTACAGATTTGAAAACAAAATGCTTTCAAAACAGTCTTTTTACCTTGCCGACGCTAATGTTGTGATTTTAAATTATATTTGTGCACAAAGCATATTTTAAAACAAATACTTCTCTTAATAATTATTTTTTACTTTCTCGTATATACGTAGTATAGAGAAAGTATTGTAATCGTGCAAAAAAATAAACCGGGAGTGATCTCCCCTAAACTTTCTCGAATATTCTTATATAAAACAACAGGGGATGGGAACTCGGGCTATAGACATGATTTTTAATCCATTTTAAATACTTAAAGTTTTAAAAATAGAATAAAATCTCGTAGACAAAAGAATTGCACACCCAGTGAACGCCAAATAAAAAAGTGCATAATAGTGCGCAATATTATTAGTACTTTAAAAATTTACATTCGTTTTTTGAGAAATCGGAAGTAGCGTAAATTACTACTTCCGGTCAACGGAAATTACTCAAAATTTAACAGAAGGTAGAAAATTAGATCTTTTACTGACAAGTGAAATTTCATTTATCTATCTGAAATAGTACTCAAGTTATAGGCATTTGAAAAATTCAAAGTAGAAAAAGTACCGCTTCCGGTTATCGGAAATCGCTCAAAAGTTGATACGGATCTACGATTTTGATAAAATACTTATATATGAAATTTCATCAACCTAGCTGTAACGGTACTCAAGTAATCGTGTTTACACACAGACAGACAGACACACAGACATACGGACAGGATTGCAAAGCCCTGTTTTTCAGAATGGATTACGCATAAAACCTCTTAATTTTGATAAATCTGGATTGATAATTTTTGCCCGATTAAAATAAGTCCTCTATACTTCGGATGTGATGAAGGACTGAGGTGTATTACGGTGAAAATTGTTAAAATTTCAAGAGATTGTTTTGCACGATTACAATACTTTATACTTCGTTTATACGAGAAAGTAAAAATCGAGATTTTTTTTTACAAATCTCGACGTCTTACACCTCACTGATACGGAAAAACATAATTTTGCAATCTTGTAATTATGTCTGTGTGTGTGTGTGTCTCTCTCTCTCTCTCTCTCTCTCTCTCTGTGTGTGTGTGTGTGTGTGTGTGTGTGTGTGTGTGTGTGTGTGTGTGTGTGTGTGTGTGTGTGTGTGTGTGTAAAAACACGATTACTTGAGTACCGTTATAGCTAGGTTGATGAAATTTCATATATAAGTATTTTATCAAAATCGTAGATCCGTATCAACTTTTGAGCGATTTCCGATAACTGGAAGTGGTACTTTTTCTACTTTGAATTTTTCAAAAGCCTATAACTTGAGTACTATTTCAGATAGATAAATGATATTTCAGATATAAGTAAAAGATCTAATTCTCTACCTTCTGTTAAATTTTGAGTAATTTCCGTTGACGGGAAGTACTAATTTACGCTATTTCCGATTTCTCAAAAACGCATCTAAATTTATAAAGTACTAATAATATTGCGCACCATTATGAACATCTTTATTCGGCGTTCGCTTGGTGTGCAATACTTTTTTCTATGAGATTCTATTTTATTTTAAAAAGCTTATGTATTTAAAATGGATTAAAAATCATAACTATATCCCGAGTTCCCATCCCCGGTTGTTTTATATAAGAATATTCGAGAAAGTTTAGGGGAGATCACTCCCGGTTTATTTAAAAAGAATACCGAAGACATATAAAAAGGAACAGAAATAAACCGGGAGTGATCTCCCCTAAACTTTCTCGAATATTCTTATATATAACGCTGCTGGTAGCGTGTCAGTCCGTCATCGTTATATATTTTGGAACCATAAAAGTAAACACACCGCATGTCGTGCTTTTAACTTGCATCGAAGCGTCTTATTATAGGTATGGGCCTCGCAGTGTCTTATTATATGTATGGGTAGGGTTTATTTATATATCGACTAATTTTTTGTGGTATAGTTTGCACTTTTTTTTACTCTTTCGCGCGTGTGAATAAAATATTAAACACGCGCATATTGCTAAAACATTTTAAACGGTTCAATGTCAAATATTACTTTTGCTTAGATTAAAGAAAAATTGGATACATTTTTAATAACAGTAGGGTAAAATAACTAATTAATTAAAATCTTTTATAATTTAGCCAAGAGAGGTAATTAAAAAAGAAATTCAACTCAAGCTAGTAAAAAAAAATGTGAATGCAAATTCTGCGGACGTGGAAGAGGACATTATTGTTAGAATATTATAATTAGCATGGATTGATAAAATGCACCGTGGCAGGTAAAATACGTATATTTTAATTATTGCCCTTAGTTTATTTTATGGATAAGTTGGGGTATTATAGCCGTTTACTAAGTTGAATCAGGCGGTTCCGCCGGCGCCATGGCCGGGTGCGATTTAGTACCCCGGGCTAGACTGTGAGCACTATGTGTTTATGTCTGCTTTTAAGTTGTGTTTATGTTTTGAGTTGTTTTTTTTTTTTTTTGCGTTTGCATTTGTGTTCACATTGTGTTGTGTTTGTTTTTTCGTTTGTGTTTGTGTGTTGCGTTTGTGCTTTTGTAAATGTTTTTTTTTTTGCGTTTGCGTTTGCGTTTACACTGGGGTTGAGTTGTGTTTGTTTTTTCTTTTGTTTTTGTGTTTTCTTTTATGTTTGTTTAGTTTTGTTCCCTAGTTGGTACATTTAAAAAAGATTCACCGTGGCGGAGCACGGGTATGCAGCTAGTTCTTATATAACACTACGATGGATGGCACCTAGGGATATAGACATGATTTTTAAATCATTACTTTTTAAAATAGAATAGAATCTCATATAAAAAAGAATTGCGCACAAAGTGAACGCCAAACAATCTGTGTATAATAGTGCGAAATATTATTAGTGCTTTATAAATTCACATTCGTTTTTTTTTTTTTTTTTTGAGAAATCGGAAATTGCGTAAATTACTACTTTCAGTCAATGGAAATTACTCAAAATATGCCATAAGGCAGATAATTAAATCGTTTACTTACATGTGAAATTTCGTTTATCTATCTGAAACAGTAATCAAGTTATATGCTTTTGAAAAACCAAAAGTAGAATAAGTTCCACTTCCGGTTGCCGGAAATAGCTGAAAAGCTGATACAGAACTACAAATTTTATATAATACTTGTATTTGAAATTTCATCAACCTAGCTGTAACGGTACTCAAGCTATCGTGTTCATAGATATACACACACATACACACACAGACATACGGACAGAATGGCAAAGCCCAGTTTTTCCGACTCGATTACGCATATAACACCGAAATTTTGATAAATACGCATTTATAATTTTTGACCGATTAAAATAAGTCCCCTATACTCTGTATATGATGACGTAATCAGGTGTAAAACTATGAAAACGGACAAAATGTCATGTGATTTTTGTGCACGATTACAATACTCCCTCTATATTCTGTATAGGAGCAAGTAAAAATACATTATATTATGATAATAAAACGAACACAAGAAACCTTTACAAACATTAATATTTTTTTTGGAGCCCTTTTTAGGTTCCGCCGCTGGATTGAAAACTAATTATAGCTTTAATTAACTTTTTTCTGATAGTTCAAGTATGATTTACAACCAATCGCTATCACTACAATCTTAGATTCAAAAGCACATTTGTATTTCAATTTTTCTGTATATTCAACTGCCATCTCGTAACTACCGCCCGAGTAACATGCAATTACAACCTCCAAACAATTTAACAGATCAAGATACCTTGACAATTAACTTTTGAAAATATATAGGTTATTCTAGGGGCAGTGGCGTAGCAAGGTCGGGTGTCACTCGGTGCGGCACTTAATGGTGTCAACCCCCAGAGGTGTAGTGACCCTTCCCGGGGACAAACTTTCAAATTTTCGATTTGCACCCCCCCCCCCTCAAGTTTTTCTATATATATATTTTGCTATTTTTTGCCTTGGTGTCACCCCCTAAATGGTGTCACCAGGTGCGGTCCGCACCCCCCCCCCTCGCTACGCCTCTGTCTAGGGGTTGCTGCAATTTGAATGAATATAATGATGTGACATTTTATCAGGTATAAGTATAAGAATGTGTTACTAATAAGCTGTTGGGTGATGTGGAAAAAATCGCTTATTTTTTTCATCTAGGATTTGTTTCAGTAACAAATGTCATCAATGTACAAGTAAATTATTTGGCAGATTTTACAGCATTTTGTGGCATTACTAAATAATAAATTCACTAGTGACAGTTAATTAAACAGAAATTATTTATAAATGTCCATTCATTCCAAAATTGTATCTCTACTGTGCTAGTAGGGTCATAAGGGAAGCGGATAGACATCATTCAAATTTTATCAGAAAGTCTGCCTTTATCATAGGTTTAATAACTTATTTATATTAATGCTATCGTCTTAAAGACACAGGGGGACGCCATCCGGCATGGGGGTGACAATTTTCGCCGGGGAGGGGGGGCAGGGGCGGCGGTGGGGCATACGTGTAGTATATGCCGCACCGAGTGTTACTGGAATAGTGATTCCACTGTTCTGGGCCAAACACTTGAAGCAAAAAAATATTGGAGTTTTTAAAAAATCTGATGAAAATGATCTAGTAAATGTACTTATGAATCACAAACATTAATTAGTAAAATAACATAAGATTAGAAAACTACCTTTTGACCAGTCCGTATCTTCCTTGTTCTCTTTGAGAACCTGAGATTCGCCTTCGTGTGCCATAGTCAAACTGGGGATAGCGAACAACAATGACACATCAATATATTAAGTAGCTAAACTGTTACCAAACTATAGTAGCATTCTAAACAACAGGTTTTAAAAAAGCAAAGTAAATCATCAATACTTGTTAAAATTTGGCAACAAAATGTCCACCAGGGTTTGATGAAAATGATTTTGGGACTATAGCTTAGTTATCTTTAGGTAAATCCTTTGTCTCACCACCCCCCCTATCTCTCTCTCTCTCTCTCTCTCTCTCTCTCTCTATATATATATATATATATATATATATATATATATATACAGAGGCGTAGCGAGGGGGGGGGTGCGGACCGCACCGTTGACACCATTTAGGGGGTGACACCAAGGCAAAAAATAGCAAAATATATAGAGAAAAATTTGAGGGGGGGGTGCAAATCGAAAAATTTGAGGGGGGGGGGGGGTGCAAAATCGAAAATTTGAAAGTTTGTCCCCGGGATGGGTCGCTACGCCTCTGGGGGGTGACACCATTAAGTGCCGCACCGGGTGACACCCGACCTCGCTACGCCACTGTATATATATATATATATATATATATATAGGCCTATATATATATATATAGGCCTATATATATATATATATATATATATATATATATATATATATATATATATATATATATATATATATATATAGGCCTATATATATATATATATATATAGGCCTATATATATATATATAGGCCTATATATATATATATATATATATATATATATATATATATATATATATATATATATATATATATATATATATATATATAGATATATTATATATATATAGATATATTTGTTTATGCCTATATATACGCCTACTAGAGTCATGCATGAAATAAAACATTTCGATTGTAATACCCTGTAAACGTCTACCCTATTTTTTACCACTTCATTCTAAACGGGTGACACCATTTTTACGGTCACAATCACCCCTAGCCACGACCGCAGTGTAGGTCAACTCATACACATTTACTTAAAATGACTAGATTAAAATTGAACTGAATAACATAGCTAAAAGTAAACTTTATAATAGTATTGCACAATGCAATTGTAAAATGTGTATTTTTATATTATTTTAAAATATACGAATCTACTAAAAAGTTTCATTTACGTTTTTACAATCAAATGGTGACGCAATGTCGAAGCACATTAGCCTAAATTAAAACAGGCATACTGATTCTAACATGGCACTAATAGCACTATTGTGTAGATAAAGTAGGATCGCAAGTTTTATTAATATATCAAATTAACTGGTCAACAATCTAACGTTTGATGTAGTACAAAATACAATACACAATCATGAGCAACGAAAATTAACAAACCTAGAGCGAATCTCTTCCACCACTCCCGACTTAAAAATGACGAAATCCTGGTTTATTATGTAGAATGTCAAGGCCTCTCGCAGCAAAAATAAACGTGTGTGCCTCTTTCTTTTTGCTGCTTGCGTTAACGACGCACGTTGAAAAGAAGTAGCCTAC